ACCCTATTTGTATTCTCCCTCTAATAGAGATCTCCTCCCTCCTTGCCCCGTGGACGTAGGCAACTTACCGAACCACGTAAAATTTGTGTTCGTTGCCTTGTAATAGCTTGTAGGTTCCATCGACAAGTCAGTCCTAGAACTAATGAGAGGAAGAACTGATATCTCACTTTATTGAGTTATTTTGCTTATCAGTTCTTGTTTCCTTTGTGAAATAGGATTTTCGTTGTGATCTAATCTTTTGTTGTGCATCTCGTGCAGCAGAGGTGCTGCCGAAATTTTCGCTGCGCACAACACGGGCCCCATAGAAATCCCCGTATGACTTAGTAGGATATATAGAATTGAAAACTACTTCGAGTCTCAACTTGGTAAGAGATGATGAATCAACAACAACGTCAGGACTCAAGCTTCTTTGACCCCTTTCCTTTATAGCTCCAGACTTTGATGATGACCTGGCAAAATCATCCTTCTTTTCCACCGGTAAAAGTCTCCAATCTATCTAGCCATTGGTTGATTTTTTAATCACAAAACCCTTTTTAAGCTTTTGCGGCTCTTGACATTGATTATATCTCTTCTTTGTATAAAGGGGGCGGAGCGCATTGGCAAAACCTTTAACGTGCACCTAGAGCCATGGGCTCACCCGCTCTTACCAGGTTTTATGTGACGCCCCTGGGTTCACACAAGGCTGCAGTCCAAGGTGAAACCAAGAATGTCAAACCTGCTATGCACCACACCGTGCAATAACATGTTTCACCATCACAATTAACATCCATCTAGTAGAATCAACAACTGGTGTAGGTACAAAACAGGTAAAAGATAATACAAGGAAGACTGATGAAATGCTAATAGTCACATAAATATCTCATCATCCAACAATACAGAAATACATAATCCAGATCTGAGTAGATAAACTGAAATACTCAACAAGTCTCAAATACAACTATCTAACGATAAGAAATAAGGCATACAGCCTTTACAACTTCTAGAACAAGACTCTCAAATGTCTAACCTCACTACAGTGGAGCCCAAAGAAAAATAGTACATAGCTAGAAAGTAAAGATGAACACTAATGTGGTTCGCTATCAACCTGCGGCTCTCCGTGCTCCTAGCTCATGACCTGAAAGGGGGAGGGACAACGAGCGTCAAAGCGCTAGCGAGTAACATCACAACCAACCCCAAGGGAACAGGGCTCGTTGTATAAGAAAATACAGATAATATGTATAATAGATCTAAAATCATTGATCCTACTAAAGAGGGTTTAAGTATTTAGAAATTTACAACACGAGCATAGGTACGTCGAGCGAAATAATCCAAACAAGGAAACCCTCATGTATATACCTTGTATCTCAAATTGTAAATCTCTAAACACCAAACCCGAGGTTCTAGTACAGAAACAATAATAAAAGAAATACAGCAAATCTCAGAACAGTATACAGTGCCATACCATAGCTAACATGAATACCATGTTATTACTTACATAAGTGTCATGTCAACATCATGTCGTGAACTTCTATGAAGAAGTCATATGCAGGGTTAAGAGCTATGCCCAAATCAGGAACTATTTATGTCGTACTCTTCCAGACTCATAGATTAAGTGGCAAATGTCCAACACGAGGACTGGAATGAATTTATAGTCCAACACGAGGACTTCTATGGATTATAGTCCAACACGAGGACTAAGGCATAGTAAAATATCGCTATGATGTATATAGTGAAGTCTACTTATATCAATTCACACTCAAACAGTGTGTAAGTCCCCAAACCATGCCCTCAGGTCATCTATCATGCATGAAATAGATAGTGAGACTAAATACCAAGGTCAGTTAGTCCAGGCGACCCTCGAACATGAGTAAAACACCCAAAAAATATCCAGAACAGGAAAACACAACAGACAGTGGGCGGTCGACCGCACCGGTCGACCGCACTCTGATCTCAAAACGAGCTCAGCGGTCGACCGTGTCGGTCGACCGCCGAGCAGACAGAAACCCAAATCTGGGTTTCTGTCAGCTCGAAACCTGAAACAAAATTTGCAAATCTCTACGATAACAAGAGTTCTAAGGTTTTAAAAAAATCATACTGAACATAAACAACAAATCTCAGGCTTGAAATCTATACTTCCAATATTTTAAAAAAAAACATGAGAAACAATATCCAAATCGTTTAAATGACAGTAAAAATGATTTAGTTCTTGTTTAGGCAAAATTTCAGATCTAGATCGTCATCAAACAGGTATTGGGTGAGTTTTTTATAAACTAAATCATCTGATTCATATTATTATACCATAGAGAAGTCTTTTCTTAACAAAAATACTATTTTGGCTCATCCAAAACTCAAAAATCCAAAATAAAGATCATGGAAAACAAGGGTGAGGGATTGGGCGAGATGATACTCGCCTTGGGTGTTGACGAACGTTCTGGAGATGATTCTCCTGAGATCCAATCTGCTGAAATCCCCTGGAACTCCTCCAAACTCCTCAAAGATCAGAGGCGGCTAGGGTTTTGAGATTTGAGAGTTGGGGGCTAGGGTTTTACGTTAGAGCTGAAGAGAGGCTCTCCTGGGTTGAGTTGGTATATATACTAACTCTTTAACCCGACCCGAAACCAAAAGACCCGAAACAGAAACCGCAAAGAGGGAAACCTGGAAAAACAACTGACCGCTGATCGGTCGACCGTACCGGTCGACCGCGTCGGTCGACCGGTCAGCACAAAAATGCCTGATTCAGGTATTTTTTTCTGCTGGCCACTAAACTACTCGATTTCTCTCACTTACAAACACCTGGTGGGTTCCCAAACACTGATAAACATATATATCTTATATATATATGGTTATTCATCACAACAGATAGGTTTATTACTGTTTATTCACACAAAACTCATTATGAAGTTTCGGGGTTTTACATTTTAGCATGTTTCTTTCTCAATGATATTTCAATCCTAAAAGATTTTCTTCCACTGCCTTATGTATCCAGATCTTAGTAGTAGTTTTTTTATCTCTTTTTACCTTCTTTTCCCAAATGCGAGTTTGGTGCGAGCCAAGATTTGGGGTTCGGGCCCGGGTTCAGTCGAGCTGGGCCAGGATCAAGTATAGGTTCCGGAAAAGCAACTATATTCGGACCATTTTGGTTCTATCAGAGCTGAACCCGGCCCGGTTGCTAATGGGCTAGTTCAAACTTAGCCCAAATCGAGCTGGTTTAATACGAGTTGTTTATCAACCCGGCCTAATCGCCACCCTTATTGAAAGGTTCCAATATAGCTCTCAAAATATTGGGTTCGATTTCCATATTAAAAAAATTGTTGGCTTGGATTTTGCATTAGAAACAAAAAAAAACAGAGAAAATGAAAATTTTTATTAATAGGGAAATGATCATGGTATTCCTCAAATAAGAAAATGTAAAGACAAACACTAGTAGAAAATCACGTATCCTAGATGGACTATTCTAGACGGAAATTTTTCCGTCTAGTTTGTATTAAACTAGACGGAAAAATTCCGTCTAGAATAATCCGTCTAGAATAAAACATTCTAGACGAAAATTTCCGTCTACAATAGTAAAACAGACGGTTTTTTTATTTTTTTATTTTTTAAAAAAATAACCAACTATTCTAGAAGGAAATTTCCATCTAGAATGTATCCTAGACGGAAATTTCCGTCTAGGATACGTTACCCATTTTTTTAAAAATTTAACCCATCAAAATTTTGCCGCCCCCCTTTCCTCCAAAATTTCGTCGCTCATCTTTCCCCCAACACCGAAATTTTATTCTAAACAAGCATAAATAAGTTTCTCCAGCTCTTGAGTTTCCCAGAATCCGACTCCATCTCCATCAAATCCCTCCTCCCCCAAAACTGAGCCTTCTCCTCCCCCGAAAAAACCCTAGATTTCCTCCTTTGCCTCTGCCTCTGTTTCCTCTCCTCGCCCCTGCTCACTTCCCAACCTTCGATGCACCTCTCTATCCTTAACAGTTATCGAAACATCGGTTGGCGAGCTCATGGCGAAGGAGCGGAGGCAATTGCGGAAAGAGCGGAAAATTTGTGAAGGCCTCTCTAGACGCCGGTTCTTCATCTAGAAGCCGAAGGCGGAGCCTTGACAGATCAAGCTCCGTGAAGAGATCTAGCGTGGAGATGAGCGAGACGATGCCGGATCGGAATGCGAAGGCCTCGCTGGACGCCGGCGCCGACCTCCTCTTCAGAGACTGGAGCTCGAGCTCCTTGGGGGATGACTACTCGGAGAGCTTCGGGTCGTCTTTCAGAGAGGCTCCGGCTCAGAAGGCTCCTCCGAGGAAGAAGTCGAGGGGGTGGAACAAGTCTTGGAGCACCTTTTTCAGTTTTTTGCCCCCTTACTTTGTGTTCCATAACAGGTGACATTTCTCTGAGACAATTATTGTCTTATATTTTGTTGGTTGTTGTTTATTATAAATATATTTTCCAAGGAATTGACACCTTTGCATTAATCTAAACATCAGATTCGGTTTTGGTCTCTCAGGTTGTCATCGTTAACTCCTAATTGAACTGTGAAGCATCTTTCATCCTTCTCTTTTGATTCTTGACTCAAATTTATAAGCTCTGAGGGCATCTCCAACCCTTTGCCTCAAAATGGTGCAAATTTTGCACCAAAATGGTGCAAAAGTCACATCTAACAGTAATTCATCTCCAACCCATTGCACCATTTTTTGCACCAAAAAGGAATATTCTCAGTATCTTTCTTTTTATCTACTTTTATATGATTATTTTTTATTCCCTATATTTTTAACTATTTCAACAATTAACCCCACATATCAAATTTTATTTTTTTCACATATTTTCCAAACAAAATGATTTATTATTTAAAAATTAAACTAATAAAACAATAAAATATTATTTTATTAATTAAAATAACTTGATTGCTAAAATATTATATTTTTATTATTGATATTGCCAAAATATTACATTCAAGAACACAACAGGAAATAAAATACAAGGAAATAATTAAACATTAACAACAATGTAAAAATTACAAATTTAGTATGCACTTAACTATCTGAATTAGTGTATTCCTCCCATAGATGATTTATTAATGCATTACGAAGCGCAATATGAGCATCTTTATCCTTGATTTTTCCGTAACGTGTAATAAATTGAGTAAATCTTGTAGTTTCATCTGCTACCATATCAACTTCTGGTGTTGGTGCTTCCCTCACTTCTTGAATTGGTGCATAAAGATCACGTTCATCCTCGATTATCATATTGTGCATAATAATGCATGCAGTCATTATGTCATGTAATACATGTTTTTTCCAAAAACGTGCTGATCCTGCCACGATTGCAAATCGTGATTGGAGAACTCCGAACGCACGTTCTACATCTTTTCTACATGCTTCCTGTTTCATGGCAAAATATTTTTTCTTCCTACCTTGTGGCTGTTGGATTGTTTGTACAATAGTAGCCCATTTCGGATATATACCATCAGCTAAATAATAACCCATATTATACTCTTTTCCTTGAATAACATAGTAAACGGGAGGAGCAATACCTTGAGCTAGGTTAGAGAAAAGATTAGATGACTCCAGCACATTGATATCATTATTGGTACCTGGCATACCAAAATATGTGTGTCATATCCAAAGATCATAATCTGCCACAGCTTCAAGGATAATAGTTGGTGACCCACTACGTCCTGTGTATTGTCCAGACCATGCTGTTGGACAATTTTTGTATTTCTAATGCATACAATCAAGACTTCCTAACATTCCTGGAAAACCCCGTTTTTTACTAATATAGAGTAGCCTAGTAATATCATTAGCGTTAGGTGTTCGTAGATACCGCTCTGCGAATATTTCCACCATAGCACGACAAAATTTTGTCATACTTTCAATTGCTGTTGACTCACCTATTTTAACGTATTCGTCTGTAGCATCAGCTGGTAAACCGTATGCCAACATGCGAAAAACAGCTGTTATTTTCTGTAACGGTGATAATCCCATTCTACCAAGTCCATCACTTCGTTGTTGGAAGTAATAGTCATGATCTTTCACTGCATCAACAATACGAAGGAACAAACTTCTTGACATCCGATATCGACGACGAAACATATCTTCTCCAAAACGTGGATTATCGGCAAAGTAATCTATGACCAAATTCTGATGCGCATTTTCTCGATCGCGGTTGATCACTGCATGACCGGGAATCGAGCCACCATGGATCGGTTGGTAGTTTTGTTGACGTAAATTGTTAACGAGGATCATGTTGTTGTTGATGTACTCACAAATTACTTCTTCGGTTTCATCAATCTCTGCAATGATATTGGACAGAAAATTATCATCATCCGAAGATGAAGATGATGATAAGTATGATGGACCTCCAACATCGAAATTCATTTTCGAAGTAAGAAAAGAATGACTGAAGTATGCAGAAATTGAGAATAATAATTTTAACACAACAACGAGTAGTTGTGTGGATGTACCTAATCTAGTATGCTATTTATAAATTTAACACAACAACGAGTAGTTGTGTGGATGTACCTAATCTAGTATGCTATTTATAAAACTTTGCTTAGCTGTATACATTGAACAATGTGTGTAAAGCTGACCTGATTTCAAAAATTGATTCCCACTCGTACAAAGCTTTCACACAATTCAAGGAGAGCTGAGCTGTGTATACGTTAGACAATGTATAAAGCTGACCTGATTTCAAAAATTGATTCCCACTCGTACAAAGCTTTCACACAATTCAAGGAGAGCTGAGCTGTGTATACGTTGGACAATGTGTAAAGCTGACCTGATTTCAAAAATTGATTCCCACTCGTACAAAGCTTTCACACAATTCAAGGAGAGCTGAGCTGTGTATACGTTGGACAATGTGTAAATTCCCACCGACAACGTTGGATAATGTGTAAAGCTGACCTGATTTCAAATTTTGATTCCCACCGACAACGTTGGATAATGTGTAAAGCTGACCTGATTTCAAATTTTGATTCCCACCGACAACGTTGGATAATGTGTAAAGCTGACCTGCTGATCAGTTTGTACAAAATGATATTATTTCAAATGTTGACCACCGACAAATTCAAATTCAAATTCAATTCAAATTCAAATTCAAATTCCAAATTCAAATTCAAATTCAAACATAAAAAACAAATTTGGATTGGCTATAAATAACATTCACGAATTCTACTTCAAACCACCCAATTCGAAGTATTTCTTCAAAGTATTTCTGATCTCCAAACCAACCGCTTTTTACAAAAAAATGTCCTGAAGATGTGCTCCTTTGTCAAGTATTCTTGGATATTTCTCAAGACCCTATTATCGGTAGAAACCAGTCTCGAGATGCATTTTGGTCTCGTGTGGAGGACAAATACAATGAACTTCGAGATCAGCATTTTGAGATGCGTACGAGCCGATCAATTCGTTCTCGAATGGAAATCATAAGTAATGAAGTAAGGAAATTGAAGCGTGCTTGAGACAAGTAGAGAATCTGAATCCAAGTGGTGCTTCAGATGAAGATATTGTAAGTATTCTAATAATTATCGTCTGAATTTTATTATTATTGTTGAAATACATAACTTGATGTTCACTATAATTTGCAGTTAGCTCGAGCAAAGATGTTATTTATGCAAGAACCAAAGTACAAAAAAGGTTTCAAATTTGATCATGTCTGGAATATGGTTAAAAATTTTGAAAAATTCAAAGATGATGTCCCCACAGCAAGACAAGTTGGTCGAAGACAATCTCAATGTGTGAACTTCGACTTGTCACAATCAGATAATCCCACTCCGGAATCTCCTATATCAACATCTCCTGGACTGTCATCATTTACTCCATCTGAACGACCTATTGGGGTAAAAAAAGCTAAATTGAAAAGGAAAAATGATGATCATGAGTCAAGTGTAGTGGACTCCATCGAGACCTCCAACAATCGACTTATAGACAGGTTAGACAAGGCGAGCTTGGACAGGCAAGAAGCATTTGATATCGAACGAGAAAAGATAGCCATGAAAAAAGATAGAGATGAATGGAAAATTATAATGAAAGATTTGAATTCCATTGCTGATCCAAACGTGCGTGAGTACGTTCGAGCTCAACAGATTAAAATAATACAAAAAAGAAATCAACAAGAACAAGGGTCTGCTTCTAATTTTGGCAATTATTTCAATGATATTGGACACTCTGGCCCCGATCTACCAGATTATTGAGAGTTGCTTGTCCATCTTATGTAATGTTCCATGTTTAGTTTGTATTTTATGTTTTATTTTAATGAAGTTTTATATTATGTGTGTCAGTTTTTATATGTTATGTATTTCAGATATGTAATTTATATTTGAATTATGTATTATGATTGCTTTTTATAATTCATGGGACTTTACTTATAATGTCTAGATTTTAATAGTATAATTAATAATAATGTCTTTTTAATTTCAACATTATTTTTTTAAAAAAAATAATTTATTTTGTCTAAATTATACAATTGGGGTAAAATTATAAAATTTAAATATTATTAGGGTTGTTTTATACATGTAATAAAATAATTGGGGTCAAGTTGTAAATACATTAAAATATGAGGTAAAATTTAAAAAAAAAATTAAAAAAATAAATAAAAGAAACAGTAATGCGGAGATGAACAGTGCGACGCCAAATATAGCGTCGCGCTGTTCATCCCCGCTAAAATGCAGCGAGAATTGGCGCCGCGTTGGAGCTCCGGAGCAGCGGCAAATCCGTTTTTTGCGGCAAAATAGCGTCGCGTTGGAGATTGTCTGATCATATATCAGATGAAATAGCATATCCCGGTGGAAGGTATATATATTTTTTTTCTCCTCAGTCTGTCTTTTCTCCTCTATTGTCGCATGTAGAAGTGATACATATTTTCTTTATGAGGATTAACAGAATGGGTTGGTAACGTCTTGAATGTAAGATTTGTGGTCTTGACAAATTCAGCTATGCTTGGGGGATAAGAGCTGAACCATTTCTAATGCAGCCAATTTGAACTTTACATAGCAATCTGCACAAGGTGTCTTTTCGGAGTTAAGCTCGTACCCTGTTCTAATTTGATTGCGTTCGGATGGACTAAAGCTATAATCTGTCAAGCTCTATTCTTAGAACGACATGATAATTATTGTAGTGTATGATCATTTTATCTAAGGAAATCATGTACAAAATTATGTACGAATATAACCTTAACAACAATTGAGACAAACCTTTTGTCCAAATTTTATGGTTCCAATACCTAAAATTTATGCGTCGAATATGACATTTACCATTTCCATATCCACATGCTAGTAACGGATGCAAATACAAATATTGATATGCTGATACAAATATTGATATGCTTTGGCGAGAAAAACCGATATTCATATCTACCGAAATCAATCACGGGCATGGATCGGATAAGAGAAAATAGATTCAGATTATCAGGTACGAGAGAAACTGAAAAAACTCAGTAGTATGTATGGTACATGATACTAGAGTTGTATAAATGAAATAAGATTTCTCAAATCAGAGTTCACAAATGCGTCAGAGTGCCTACAAACTTAATATTAGAGCTCTAGATCATAGAAATTTGTTGAATATGAAATGTATCATACTTCATACTTAAACAAATAATATTACTTTTTGACTTTGACAAATCATGATTAAACTCCACATTATTTACAATGTAGCACTGAAATTTTCTGTTAGAAGGTGATGGCTTATCATTTTTGCAGGATAAACTGTAAAGCATAGGCACCTTTGTCATTTCATTAAAAAGAAATTATTGAAACAATCTCCAAAATGGAGTGATACCAATATTTGTGACAACTCACATAAAGCCTAACCCTTCAAAAAAAAAAGTCTAATTTTACAGGCAATAATAGTTAGAAGCAAACCACATGCTCGACATCACCATTATATATGGACTTTTTGCCATTTTCCACCTTGTTTTTCCTTAAGCAAACCACCCTGTTCTAATTTGATTGTGTTTGGATGGACTAAAGCTATAATCTGTCAAGCTCTATTCTTAGAACGACATGATAATTATTGTTACGGGTGCAACTTTCTGATAAATAACATGCATGTTGTTTGCTATAAATTTGGAATATGGAATTTATTCTTCGCTACATTTTCCTGACGTATGAAGGCCTTGTTTCTGCAGGAATCCAATGTTTACATTATATATTGCAGCTTTGCATTGTCAGTATGCATGAACTTCAGCCTCTTTCTAAAAACATGTCATAAACATCAAAGAGGTTGTAAAATATCTTCTGTCTAGGAAAATAATTTTATTTTACTTTGTTAGAGGAAGATACTGTGTATGGGACTTAAATTGCTTTGTTGTTATAGGTATTCTTTTGGTCCGTTACAGTATATTGTTTTGCTTACATTCCCTTAAAATTGCAGGGACATGGTGTTGCAAGAATCTCGAAAACTTATCAATCGAAACCCGTCGGAAATTTACTTGAATGATGCCTATCCATGTAGTATGTTTTAATGTAATCTTTTCATTTAAGTGAATAATTTTTGAGTTGGTTTGTAAATAGGGTTCTTCTATCATTGAATAATTTGGAATAATTTTTGTTTGTGATGGATGTTGTTCTATTAATATATATGCTCAAACAAAGGATTTTCTTCCCCCTTGCGATGGATGTTGTTCACATTAAGGTTTTTTGCTTGCAATGGATGTTGTTCTTGGTATCCATTGAATAGGTTCACGCAAAAATAAAAAAATAAAAAAATAACAACAACTGGAGCATAGCATCCTAGACGGAAATTCCGTCTAGGATAGCTTATTTTCTAAAACAAATTAAAAAACATCCTTTTGTTTAGGATGAGTATTCTAGACAGAAATTTCCGTCTAGGATACTCACTCTAGATGGAAATTTTTTCCGGCTAGGATGAAGTATTCTAGACGGAATTTCCGTCTAGAATATTCCGTCTAGGATGTATTCTAGACGGTTTTGAATTCCGTTTAGAATATTCCGTCTAGAATGTATTCTAGACGGAATGTCCGTCTAGAATACCATATTCTAGACGAAAACTTTCTAGACGCGTATTCTAGACGAAATTCTGTCTAGAATACACATCCTAGACGGAATTCTGAGTATCCTAGATGGAATTTTCCGTCTAGGATACCTTATTTTTTACCTGTGAAAGGAAAAGAAAAAAAATTATTAATAGGGGAATGATCATCATATTCCTCAATTAAGAAAATGTAGAGAAGTTATATAACTAACAGCAAAGAAAAGGAAAAAGGTTATTAATACGGAATCGATCATCGATTCATCGTATTCCTTAAATATGAAAATGTAAAGAAGTTGCATAGTTAAACAAAAGTGATCAAATATTCTTGTCCTCTCAATCAAACTTATTACAACGAATGAACCAAAACATAATCCAAAGACCACTCCGTAAATAGCATAACTCCTGCCAAGTAAAGCAACTACTGACACCAACAAGTTTTAAATTTCAGACTTACCGGCAATATCAATAACAAACCGATACTTGACATCATTCTTCGAAAGCCTCTCGATCGCCTCGTTGATGTACTCCGGCTTCACCACTTCAATGTCACAAGTAATACTATGCTCACTGCAGACGTTCATCATCTCTTGGGTCTCTTTCATCCCTCCTATCAAACTTCCGACCACTTTCCTTTTTCCTAGAAATTAAAATGCCAGGAATCGTAATTTTAGAGGCAGTTTGGTTCGTTGCAACTAAAACATTGCAGTTTGTTTCATGTAATATTGAATTTGCTTCTTGGTTTTACCGAATATGAGAGGAAAGGACGGGAGGTCCACTGGCTTGTCTGGTGCACCAACTAGCACCAGTGTCCCGCTAACTTTGAGTAATTGCAGGATCGGCCCCAACGAGTGTTTTGCAGCCACCGTGTCGATGATGTAATCCAAGGTCCTTGATCCAGCCTAGAGATTTAATCAAAGAGTTTCATTAGTAACACGTAATAATAAAAAATTAACCACATCTGAATTGATTAGGGTAAGTTTGGGTAAACCCACCGTGAACTATTAGGGGTTTTCCATAGACATATGATGAAATACTTTTAATCATAATTAGAAACATACCATGCGCATTCTTTTTTCTGAAGCTATCAGGACCAGCAAATATCAGTACAAGTTGGCAAATGATGAGACACGTGTGTCATATTTTGGATAATCCTGTCCTTAATTACTTACGGGATGTAACTACAATCTTGATTGCCATCTCTATAATCTTAAATATTTTGGCTTTTTGACATTTTAAGAATATTGTTATAGTATTGTCAGGATATTTTTTCCGATAGAATTTGGTATTTGCTCGTGTAGTTTCGAAAACGTGCGGCATCATTCTCTTAATTAGAAAAATAGTTTATGATAGTTTCGTACAAAACCTCCAGTTGATCATGGTAGTTTGTGAAATTAACTAAACTCAGACCAACCAGAGACCGTTCGTCAATCACCTGCAATTGTTTAGGATCAGTGCTAATTATAAAGTCATCAGCTCCTAGTTGCTCTCTGGCCTCTTTCTCTTTGGAAGGGGAAGTACTGATCACGGTGACATGAAGCCCAAATGCCTTGGCAATTTTCACGGCGACATGGCCAAGGCCTCCGAGACCGACAACACCAAGCTTTTTCCCAGGATGGAGCATGTCATGTTGCTTCATGGGGCTGTATACTGTGATCCCAGCGCATAGTAGCGGCGCTGCTGCGTCCAGAGGCAAGTTATCCGGGATATGGACCACGTACCTATATCAAGTATTTGGGAATAAATTAGTGTAGATATTAGTATAAGGATGAGTGAATGTTTGTGTTATACAAGAAGGGATTGATGCATCAACAATTGTTTTTTTTTTTCAAATTTGAAACTACAGAATTAGTGGCATTGAAGGACTAGTAATATATACTTATGCTTTATAGCTATGCTTCTTACTGAATCTTAGTAAATTATATATACAAAACCCGCTTCAACTTTGGAGGTTTCACACAAAAATCCCTTCACTCTGTAAATTCTAGAAATCCTCCCAAATTAAACTTTGGTGAGTCTGTACAATAACCAACTGAACGTAGTAAAGATAAGGTATGACATTTGTCACATATGTATATTGTTACTAAATACGGATGCATATATTAATACAAATATGCTTCACTGTGGAAAAATCATATCTATATCTGATAGCATTCTAACAGATGCGGATCGGAGGACAAGGCACATTTGTAGAAGTGGCGAACAGTTGAAGAAAAACTCAGGAAAAGGCATCTGGAAGTTTGTCCGTCGACCGCGAGATCAGCTGCGGTCGTCCGGAAACATGCAGGAAGAGCTGGAGGTTTCTGGAGTTAGGATGGTCGACCGCCGAATTCGTCGCGGTCGACCGTCAGGGTTCGGTCGACTGCCGCGGTCGACCGCGGACCCTGTAATCGATTTTACGAGTTTTTGTCATTTTGTCCGGTCGATCGTGGAGTCAAGTGCGGTCGACCGCGACACGGGTCTGAGCTGGACTTTGGGTTTTCAACCCGTTTCGTTTGATGTTTGTATAAAACCCTAAACATAATTAATTAGGGTTAAGCAAGGACGATTTGAGCAGACTTTTGAGAGAGGATTGTGCATTAATTGTGGAAGGATTTGTGAGAGATCTAGAGAGCTTTGTTCTAGGGTTTATTGGTGAGATTTGTAACCCTATTTGTATTCTCTTGGTTTCTAATAGTAAGAACTCCCCCTTACCCCGTGGACGTAGGCAACTTGCCGAACCACGTAAAATTCGTTTGTCTTACTATGGTGATTGTGTTTTGCTGGTGTGATTGTGACTTATCTAGTTCTTGTTCGTGCACTTTCGTATGATTCGAGTTCCGCTGCGCACAACAACATTATGCTCGGATATATAAATCATGTACGAGAGAAATCTATAAATCTCAGGTACTGTGTTTGCGCACAAGTGCTTGTCCCCATGTCGCACGCGCACACCCGCGTGTGTATTATTTATAATACAAGTCTGCCTAAATAACACACAACTTTTCAAATGACAGGTCGCCTCAAAGTTACATTTAAGTCTTTAGATCACGAAAATTGGTTTCAGATTCATTGGTTTAAGGTCAAAACAGTTTTACCTGCCTGTTCAATATATAGGGATATGGATATATTAAGCATGGACACAAATTTTTTCACATATATCTGTTAGATGCCCACTCAAACTCTAATTTGGACCCAAATTTAAAAGCTAGGCACAGTTCCAATAGCTTTCTTAGAAGTCAAGTTAATTAACAGTTTTTTTATAGGTCAAGTTTACTTGATGGGCAAGTCCGGTGTGTCTTTAAATAAGACATCCTATTGTAAAGTTTTTAATAGAGAGAGTGAGAGAGAGATACAATATTATTATAATCAGGGTTTAACAGAGGGTGTAACGGGGTTCAATGGTATTGTGAGAGAGTGTATGACAGTCTTTAATTATTCATGCAAAAGATTGCAATTTGGAGGTGATAATGAGATTATTTTTCGATTTCGTAGTTTTTTCTATTGAGGGTTTTTCATGTTAAATCTTGTGTGAGATTCTATTTACTGTGTTTGGTGGTCTTCGGGGTTTTTGCGTGATTAAAAAAATCCCAACAAGTGATATCAGAGCGGGGTTCAACGATTAATGGAGGTTCAAGCGTTGTGCGATTGGTGAAGCCGTCAACGATCTAGGCGAGGTGATCGACATTGGGTAAGCAAGAGAACTAAACATCGTTGGAGGAGAAGAATCATGTGAACAGCAAGCAAATAAAAAATAATAATAAATAAAAATAAGTTCACTGTAGCAAGGCAAAAGGGCTTGTTTAAGTACTATTTTTTCAATCAAATCCGATGGTGCAGATTGAGTTGTCTTCTAGTCGTGGAATTAGAAGCGGAATTTAATGACCCAGGAGTAGTTCCTAGGGTTTTTCAACTTGCTGAGTTTATTTTTAACGTTAGTTCTACCAAATTTAATTCTAGAATGATTAATTTGAATTTAGCTATGGTTAGAGGATGATAAAATTTTCGGGTCCAAAGTTCGATATTTTGCTATTCAATGGCAAGACAAATTTTATATTATGGCAGTGTATAGTTTAAGATCTTCTTGTGCAGTAGGGTGTTGATCAAGTTTTGGAAGAGAAGAAGCCCATAGGGATGAAGGATGTTGAATGAAGTTTCACGCAAAAAAAAGCTATCAGCGTAATTCATTTGGCACTCACCCTCTAGATCAGGTACAAATTTATGCAGGAGACCATGCCAAGGAGGTTGTGCGACAAGCTTGAGAGGAATTATGCATCGAATTCGATGACAAACGGATTGTGTTTGAGGATTGAGCTTTATTCATTGAAGATGGAAGAATGTACTATTATTTAAGACCACATCAATGCCTTTAGTCAGCTAGTGTGTCAAATTATGAGTATTGATGGGGAGATTAAAGAAGAAGAATAGATGTTACTCATACTATCTTCCCTATAGAAGTCAAACAAGCTATTAATTTAGACGATAATTGCGAGGAAGCAGACATTGAGGTTTGATGATATGACAGCACTCCTCCGCAAAAATAAAAGAATGATGGGAAAGGAGAGCATATCTAATGGTGTTGAGAGTGCACTAGCTATTGAATGTTCAAATCGAGTGAGGAGTAAGTAGAGATGCGGAAGTTACTAAGGAAGGTCAAAATCTCGGGCCAGAGATGACTGTGAAAGAGAGTGCTACTATTGTGGAAAGAAGAGTCATGTTTAGTTCAGATGTTTCCAAATACGAGATGCTTTGAAGAGCATTGGCCAATGAAGCTTCAAAAAAAATGGGAAGAATGAGAACTCCTCGACAGTTGTGTGTGATGAAGACGTGGTGCTGATAACAGAGAGTATTGGTAGTGATGTAAGTAGCACTTGAGTGTTAGATTCTGCAGGCTCGATATGTTTGCAACAACAAAAAGTACTTTGATATGTTGAATAGAGATGAAGAATTTGGTGACATGATAGTTGGAAACAATGAGAAGATGAAGATTGAAGGCGTGGGGAGAGTTCACCTCAAGCTTCACATTGAAAGGTCGGAATTCTTCGTCATGTGAGATATGTGAATTCATGTGATGCTAATTTAATTTTGTTGAGTGTGATGGCATCACGTGGGCATAAATATGTGGGTGAAGGAGAGTGATGCAAAATGTATAGTGATGGTGATTTAATTTTACGAGGGAGGAAGAATAGCAACCATATTTGCTATTTAGATAGATGTTCTGTTAATGGTGTATGTGACTCTTCTCAGGCTCTTATCCACAAGGGAGAGGTGAAGAACAAGAAGAAGATTGTGAGTTTTTTTGAAGCTGCTAAGATACATAGAGATTTTTTATGGAGGGAGGATATGTTGGGTGTCCACTCAAACTCTAAGTCGGATCCAGATTTAAAGGCTACACATAGTCCTAGTAGTTTCCTTAGAGACCAAGTTAACAGTTTTCTTGTAGGCCAACTTGACTTGGTGGGCAAGTCAATGCTGTTTTTAAATAAGGCATCATATTTTAGGATTTTTTTTTAGTAGAGAGAGGGAGAGAGATACAATATTCTTATAATCAAGGTTTAAGAGAGGGTGTAACCAGATTCAAGGGTATTGAGAGAGAGAGAGAGAGAGAGAGAGAGATTCAAGGGTATTGAGAGAGAGAGAGAGAGAGAGAGGGTATTGAGAGAGAGAGAGAGAGAGAGAGAGAGAGAGAGAGAGAGAGAGAGTGTGTGT